GAAAGAAAAAGAGAAAGAAAAAAATTGAGAGAAAAACAAATAGAAAGAAAGAGAATAAGAAAAAAGTGGTAGAAAGGGAAGGAGAGAAAAAAGAAGAAGGAAAAGAAAATGAGAGAGAGAGAGAGAGAGAGAGAGAGAGAGAGAGAGAGAAAGAGAACAAAAAAAGAGAGAGAACAAAAAGGTAGGGGTAGATAGAGAGACAGAAGAGATAAATAGAGAAAAAGAAAGAAAAAGATGGAAAGAAAGAAACAACTACGAATGAGAGAGGAAAGATAAAGAGAGAGTGAGAGAGAAAGAGAGAGAGGGAGAGAGAGAGAGAAAGAGAGAGAGGGAGAACGAGAGAGAGAAAGAGAGAGGGAGAGAGGTAGAGAAAGAAAGAGAGAGCAAAAGAGAGAGAAAGAGAGAGAGGGCGAATGAGAGAGAGAGAAAGAGAGAGGGAGAGAGGGAGAGAAAGAAAGAGAGAGCAAAAGAGAGAAGAGAGAGAGAGGGAGAACGAGAGAGAGAGAAAGAGAGAGGGAGAGGTAGAGAAAGAAAGAGAGAGAGAGAGAGAGAGAGGGAGAACGAGAGAGAGAGAGCGAGAGAAAGAGAGAGAGAGAGGGAGAACGAGAGAGGGAGAGAGATAGAGGGAGAGGTAGAGAAAGAAAGAGAGAGCAAAAGAGAGAGAAGAGAGAGAGAGAGAGAGAGGGAGGGAGATAGAGAGAGGCAGACAGAGAGGCAGACAGAGAGAGAGAGAGAGAGAGAGAGAGAGAGGGAGAGAGAGAGGGAGAGAGAGATAAGAGGCTGAGACAGAGGCTGCCTCGCTGCCATGGACCGATAATAAACAATGTCATTAATGTGATCAAAGCTAAGAGAAAAACTCCCATGAGCCCCTCGCGTGTGTTGTGATTAGCGTCATCCCTCATCGTGCAGCTCGGCGTGGAGCCTCAGTCTGACGCCGGAGTGGAAACCGTCGCATTTCTCTCTCGGTGAATTACAGAGTTCAGAGGTGGCAAATGACTGTCATCTGTGCTTCTTCCACAGTTTATCCAACAGGTCGGAAAACGGAGGGAAATCACACCTGTCGTCACTTAGGGGGCTTCGATTTACTCAGAGGATGAACTGTAGATTCTTACAGTGCTGTATAACAGTCCTGTATAACAGTCCTGTATAACCGTCCTGTATAACAGTCCTGTATAACAGTCCTATAACATTCCTTAACGACTTCACACCTGTAATGTTCCTGTAAACTCTTACAAGTAAGGCTCTTAAATGGCTCTAGGCTTGAAAGTACAGTTCTAGGAAAAACCTTTGTGGTACAGAACCTTCACATTACAATTCATTTACAGCAAGTGTTCTTTAAAGAATCACCCATTAAAAGGTTCCATGAACACTTTACCTGCTACATAACGCTGACTTAACCATGCCATATGCACATCATGGCAAATGTCTTATGCTAGTATAAACTATTATGACAGATTTTGTCCAGTAATATAACAGGGTCATGTCATCATTACCGGAAACTGTTATGACAATCTGGAGAACCTGTTGAGGTGATTGTTTTTCCTCTGGTTTTATATTAAGCTGATTTCATTTAATAGTCTATTCAGGGGATCTTAACTCTATGTAGTAGTTATGTATGTACAGTGATGGTTAAAGCTTTGTAGTGGTAAATTATAGCATTCCTTAATCTGTATAGATATTCATAATAGATTAACGTTAGCACCTTCTTACACGAAGCTGAAGTTATTCGCCAGCTTCTTGTTCAAATTTTCCCGTTCCACCTCAAATGGGGATGCTTTCACTTTCTAGTCCCTGAAGCTGCACCATTTAAGGTGGAACGGGAAAATTTGAACAAGAAGCTGCGAATAGGAAGCCAACTTCAGCTTCTGTGTTTTGGGGGTTTATTTTATTTTTATGTGTATTAAGATTAGAAGTGATTCACACGTTGATGGATTTGCTGATGTGTCTGATTGTGTTTCTCATGCTAAACTTGGTTTTTATCGTCAGGTGCAGACTGAATACTTTCCTGCTGGTCCGGACGGCTAATTATCACGATCAGTTATTAAAGTAATAAAAGTTACCGAGAGCAGATCCGTGCAGCCTGGATTAATCTGTGTCTGAGGATTATAACAAAACAGATTTGGTTAAAATTGGTTGAGTAATAAGGAAGTTGTGGCTGATTTAATCCTGAGACTCTTCGTCTCTCAATACGAGTGAATTTGTTCACAAGCGGATCTTGACCTCTCCAACATGGCGGACGCTCAGACGTATCACCTCAGATAGAGAACAACAGACAACGCGGCATCTAGGTATGGATATCTATGGTTTGAGAGACATTTCACAAGAAACTGCTCTACTTGTGGAAAAGTTTCCTGCCGGAGATGTGAGAAAAGCGGCTGTAGCTGAGCTAAAGCTCAAAGCAGAGCAAAGCATTTTCGTTTATGTTATATTTTATCCTATACTAGTTCAGCAGCACATACTGAGACATATTTACAGCCAAAACGGTAAAATGGACACAAAATGTTGTGGCTCCCAAGGTGGTTTGATTTTTGTTGAAAGGTCAAAATGGCTCTTCTTAACATTTGGGTTGACGACCCCTGGTGTAGAGCCAAACATGAACTGCTTTGGGGTCCCTGAGGACTGGCTTGGGAACCACTAAAGACCAAATGTAGTTCTTCTATGGCATAAAATACTGAGTGTAGTACAGAGCCTTTTAGTACACTATAGTAAACTATAGTAATTGTTCTGATATACTATACGTTGCCTATAGGAAACCTACTTAAACTCATGCAAGATTATTATACACCTTTTTTAATAGTTTTGGGAAAGGAATCTGTATTTGAGACAGCACTCAAAATGTGGGATAAAAGTATGTAGGAGCTGCACAACATTTCCCTGCTATAAAATATGCATTAAAACAGGAGTAAAATGAAGCACGCGGCATAAAACGCTGAATTACTCATTCTAAATGGCTCGCACTGGGCCTCATCTAGATATCCCTATAAGCTTCACTGAGTCTGTAGAAATCAGTCGAACAGATTTTGACCTGCAGGCATGTATTTAGCTTCGCAATATTCAGGCTGGCTGCTAACGCAACAGAAAGAGGAAGCAGAACACCAGTTTAATCCGTCCACATATCATTTCCCTCCAAATCCCCACCATATCTCGCAGATCCAGTCCAGAGTCTACCCCCGCTGCTCTTTATTACATCCCCAAAAAACAATTAGCTCAAAGACACAGAGAAGGGCATCCTATTGCGTCCAAGAGGCCTCCAATTGGATTGGTCCACCTGCTTTGGGGGATTACATGATAAACTGCTCACTGCAGCAGCAAGAATGGAAAGAAAGAAGAGATGAAAGTCGAAAAAAGTGATTTTACTGGGTTATAAAATGGACGGCTTGATGTTTTAGAGAGATCTCTATGAGGACGTTCATCTAAATCCACAGGATTTGAACTACTTTTCTTGAATAGGCACTCTCACTGATAGAAATCATGACCTAAATATCATAACTCAGAGGCCTGTTTTAGTGTTATTAATCAGTTTAAAGAACATTTCAGCATATTTCTGACTCATGCTGTGTTAAAGTGACAGTAAATTCAAGTTTAGTTTGTTCCCTCTGCTAATGTAGTCTACATTTTTGACATCTGATGTTTGCTTCCATAGGTTTGGGCTGGAACGACAAGGCTAATGTAGCTAGTAATAGAAGTTGGTATGTCTCAATCCAGCTTTTTCGTCCCCTGATCAGAGTATTTGTATGCTGATTATTTGCAGATACCAATCCAATCTGATCTTAGAGTTTTCAAAGACCAAACAGCAACACTGTTTAGATAAAATATGGCTGTTGTCGGAAGAAAACCTCGTAACCCCAAACTGGTAACTTTACAGGAGAAGGAAAAAACTACTTTACTTTTAATGTAAATAAATGGAACCAGATGTTTTTCCAAGTCATTTTGGGTCGTTTCTTTTTGTTCAATCATCATGAAATTTACACAGAATGTAAAGAGCAACAGGGATTTTCAAAGTATGTCAAAAACTGAAAAATGAGTTTTTTTTCCGACAATAGCGATATGTTTTGTTCATTTTCACTTCAGGGAATTATTTATGGTCAAATTAACTTGAACCATTTAAGGCAACAGGTTTCCTCAAACCATTTGCGTTGACTTAACTCATCAGGGTAGATAACAGTGTCAGACTTAAGCAACAGAACACCTGAGGTTGTGTTTTAGTGAAATAACATCACGGCTGTGATTTGGTCGCCGTAGATCATCACAGCCGTGATGTTATTGGCGATAACACACTCCTCGAGTGCTCTATTGCTTTAATACAACAGTTAAATAAATACAGTAATAAATTAATAAACTGGGCCGTGAACGCGGCGTTTAATATGTTTTAATGTTCGCAGTTCCTTCACCAAATTATAGTTCCTTAACAAGCAGCTCGTTGCTACGTCAGAGTAACGAGCTCCGCCCACTCACTGCACAGCCGGCAGTTCGTTCTCCAGCTCCACACAGACCAACTGACAGTTTGGGATTTTAGTGTCATCTCATCTTCAGAGTCTGACCAAATCGGCTGTCGGTCAAATGTGATCTTAAAAGTGTCCATTTTCTGTTTGTGGCAAAGTAAGAAGTAAAAACGTTCAAATGTCTTGAGCGTCTCCTACAGCTGTCAAAATCGTTGCTTAGCAACAGCGTCTCAGTGGAGTGATACAGTGTTTGTGAATAAACCATGATGTTATGGTGAAATAACAGCACAGTTAGAACGGCTCTCAACCAATCAGCTCGCGTGTCTGGAACTAACTGTTGCACAAAGCAGCAGAAACCACATAAGGAAATCTATTTGATCTAAGTACTGAAGTATAAGCTTCCATTAACAACTACATAAGCTACACAGCTCAAGTGCAAAACTAAACCAAACAGTCTTGGCTGACTGACCCCCGATCTTTCGCTTGTAGAGTATGCTGTGTGTTGGAATGTTATTTCGATATAGGATACATCAGTGAAGAGTTTTACTTTCCACTTACCCAGAGGTAGCCTTGAGGGAGGGAAGTGCTCGCCGCAGAGAAGCCCAGCAGAGCGCATTGGACTGGATTGTGAAGAGCAGCCTCCAGCTAAAAAAGAGAAATCCATGCTTAATTATGTTCAAAGTAGGCCATACCTTCAGACGTCCAATAAAACATCTCCAAATTCACTGCACAAGTGACTTCACACAAGATTAAAATCAGCCAGTGTGTCTGAGAGCGTTCTAAGACCAGCTACTGCACCATCAAATACACGCCTGCTGATTCGGCCCAGCAGTGAAACGCACTCAAAATACACAACAATGTACACTGACCATCAATGTATGATGGGGGGTGAATGATTTCCACTGTCACTGTTCAAATAAGTAAGAAAAAATGGCTGTAAATGATTTGTTAATATAAAAAAACTATTTGCTAAAACTTTGGGTATATTTAGCTCAAACATTCACCTTGAACTTGAGCTTGAATAGAGATTTGACTTTCTTCCAAACTACTGTTAAAAGCCCACATTGAAAGGTTTTTGGTCTAAAGGTGCTTTAAACACCAGGGGCTGGGTTTGTGCTTGGCTAAGCCCTGCCTCACACCACGCAGGGCTTAAAGGGGAATTTTTCAAAATTGCTGCATAATTCATTGGTTGTGATGTAATCAAAGACATTTGGGTTTCTCTGCAGTGGTGAAAGAAACCAGTGGATGCAATGCCTACAACTCAAATATAGGCATTTCGCTTACTATCCAAAACCACCAGTAAACCTTCAACGTGTCTTCTGAGTTTTTACATGCAATTTGCTAACAGTAAAATAGTGGTAAATGTAGAAAAACAGTTTTCTTTGCTGACTATTTTGCCTTACAAATCCCTGCAAGTACCTGTCTGCCATGAATGTATTTTTAAAAAATACGTTAAAGGCCAAAATCTTTTCAAAAATATCATAAAACAGTGTCTCAGTCATCAGGCAGTGAATTCATAACCATTTCACCTAGTAACTTTCTGTGAGGGAGCTTTTAGAGGTGGACGTCTGGTTCCTATCACCACCACTGTGAACAATTCTGACGTTAAGTTTCACATCAAACCTTTCGACTGTGTTTACATCTTAACCATTCGTTATGCAGAAATCTTTGAATTCTACTTTACAGTTACACCTAGAAAGTTACCAGTAACCGGCCCATAAAGGGTGGAGTGCAGGCATCACAACAGGTGTGGGGTATCAATAAAGCAATAAACCACGAGAGACTGTGTGCAGAAACTGCAATAAACAATTCTCCTACCAAGAAGCGTAATTTTTTTTAGGGTGCATGTCTGTTGCATCTCGTTCTGGACGGCAGAACGAGAACTTTCAGTAGTGCATCACTGTATAATGGAGTCATTTCATGCATGTTTACATTTTTTGTTACTTAATAATCAAAATATCAAAATATAGCACAGTTTAATACCGAAACCTTCATCTTATCCATGGGTTTCAGTCTCTTCATTTTTCTGTTGTGGCTGCCATATTTGGGACCGAATTTCTGGCTTCTCTGCTCCGCTTGAACGTAACTAGAGGTGAAAGATGGCTAAAATTCCTCTCCTTACTCTGGAAGAGAAAAACATGACCTCGACAGAGTCGATAAAACAGGCTGTGATCAGTTTCTCCTGAACTCCTGATCCCACTTAAACTGGCGGAAAGATACCAGATTTGTGTTTTCCTGACATATTTATCTCATACTCAGCCCCTCTCCCTATTATTATAAATGTTTATAAAGCATTTAAAAGCACAGAAGCCCACCAGCTCTTCACGTCAGGGTGGGTAAAGGATCCCATGGTGTTGCATAAAGAGGAGAAACACTCTGTCATCATAGGAGGGTAACAACATCAGCTAATTAACACAGATGTGATCAATGCTGGCCTTTAGATAACTTTAGCTGATGTTAACAGCTGAGAGATGAACAGTCGCCCCCTAACGGAGCTGCAGACCGCCGGTATAACTTCACTCTCTGTTTCTGGAGATGTTCTCCTACAGCTACGTTCGGGCTTTCCTTTCAAAATCTCTTCGAACATGGAGGGTTTTGGATCAGTCACTTCTAATTTTTGTACAGAAACATCAGCCCAAATGTTTATGAGTCTCAGCAACGTGAAATTATGACAAATGTCGAGTTGGATTGACGTAAAAGTTCCATGAATTCCAATCTGGCTGTTCAGACGTGAGTCGCGTTGCCGCAGATCGGATACGTATCGAATTTCAGTGCCACATATGAAAGCGTCTCAAATCGGAATCGAAAATGTCAGATTCAGTGTGTTTATCGTTCACACTGAACACACAGACACACATCTGTGTCACACATGAAGAAAAAGATCAGATTTGGGCCACTTTTACCTGCGGTGTGAACAAAGCATAAGAGTTTAGGTGAGTAATTTACAACGAAGATGTTGCGACAGAAACTATCCATTTTACTTATTTATTTTTGTTTGTTTGTTTTTTTAATTATTGTTTTTGCACATCCTATTCAGTTTTCCTTAAAATTAGCCTGGTTGGTCATTAATAAGTTGCAATAGTCTAAACGAGCGGCTCTCAAACCAGTCCTCATGGTACCCTAGAGGGTCCACAACTGGCTATATTTCAACAGAAGGACCAAAAACGTGGACTGTGGAGGCCCTGAGGGGCAGTTTAGGAACACTTGTCTAAATTACAAACTGACCTGCTATTTTTTATTAAAAACAATTAGAAAAGCTAGGTGTCTCTAAACTTTTGATGTACATTGTATACTCAAGCTACCGATGCATCTGCGTCACTTGGCGTCATGCTAGTCTATATTGGTCGGCGCACAGGCCTCATGGTGGGCTATGAATACTCTCCCAGTGGCAAATACAGCCTTTGTTAGCATACACTGCTATTCAGACGAGGCCAAATTTAAAAACGAGCTCCACTCACATGTGTTCTGCACAGTCTAATTTTTGAGCAGGAAAAAAAAATTGTATTCGAGCCAACGGTGCGAAGGCATTTTGAGTAGGAGGTGGTGATAATGGTGGGCCTGCGAGGCTTTCACAGCGGCTAAGCGGAGAGTTCTGGAAAAGGGAGCGCTGAAAGGCTGGTCACAGCGCTCTCCCGCTGTGCCGCCTGCAGAAAGTGCATGGCCCCCTCACCCCATAAGTGCGCCATTCACTGCTGAAACTCCATGCCACTCCACGCCGCCGGCCACTGAAAATGGCAGCGGTTGGGTGTGTTTACAGGCAATATGGGCCGCCAAGCTCTAAACGTTGTTTTTAAAGTTGCTGCCGTTGTTTTTTTCTCCCCCCATTTCCCTGACTCATGCTCTCCTCTTCCGAGTGGGCGTTAGGGCACCGTCACCAATGCCATGTACGAGGAGGCATCTGCACAGTTTCAGATGCGTCGGTTTCAAAGCCAAAAAAAGCAGCCAGAAATCAGAATCAGAGACAAAATTCTTCTGGGGATTTTTGCAACGCTCAGTTTCATGCTCATTATCGAGTCTCGTTTAGTATCATGAGTAGGCTTTTGTCTAAATAATGATTTATTTAGCAAATTGTTGTTATTGAGAATCACATATTTAAGCAATGCTTTGGCCAAAAATCACAGTTTTTCACAGTGGTTTTAAGAAAATGGACAAGCATGGACAATATTCCAGTTTTAAGGCTTCTTATGTCCATTTTCATAGACAGCAGTGTGTCACATAGTGTCAGAAACCACATGAGCAAGTCTATTTGAGATTAATTAACAACTAGACATAGTTGCTTTTTGCAGTTTGCACAACAGCAGTGCTAAATAAGCTTTCATTTCTTCCTAACTACATTAGCATCATGGCCCTAGTCCAAAACTACTGAAATAGCCTCGTAGGGGTGCAACGATGCAAAAATTTCACGATTCAATATGTTTTGCTGCTTTTGCATCACAATATAATATGTTTTCAATACAGATTTAGAAATGAATGCAAACTTAACTTCTGCATTTATTTATTTTTAAGTGATTCTGAATTATTTTTCCCCTAAAACACTTGTTGAAAGGATAACTGACACCAGTCATTTTCTTAGAAGACATAAAATAAATAAAAAATATAAACAAAAGTGTGAGATGTATTTTGCATGCTGCAAATAATGTTTCCAGCATATAAGTGTCTTATCACGCCTCATAATAATACAAGTAAACAAAACTCTGCTCCGGTTTTTGAGACATTTGGGTGAGTCTTCATAAATGACCCCGGCACACTGTCACCGTCCAGTCCACCACTTGTTGCCTGTCAATGTTGTACTCAACAGGAAAACAAAGCATTCCCAAACAGGAAATAAGCACGAGTGCACGTCACTTTTCCCAGCCAAAGCTTATTTTATCCACATGCCATTTTAAACAGCTTAGCTCATCAACCATCCAAGGTACCCGATGCTGAAGCGAGCTTCTTATCTGAACTCTCCTCAGACACCAGAGTGCAACTGCTGCACCATTTAAGGTGGAACAAAAAATTAGAGAATAAGACGCTAACTTTGTGCAGCTTTGTGCACGGTAGCCAAACCCAACCCTTTTTCCAGTCCCAAGAGCTGCACAGCTACGTTCACGGGTAAAGAATTTAGGACTGTGTTTAACAGCACTCTAGAAAGCATTTCCATTATCACGTATTTAATAGTATGAAGTGTATTTGATACACATCGTCCACGGTCTCGCAACCCCCATATCGAAAATAAAAAAATATCAACATGTGTCTCGTTACATCCCTAATGTCCTGTATAAAAATTGGTGCTTTGAGGCAACGTATATGCGCCAAGGGGGCTCGTCCATTTAAGCAAATTAAGCACAGCTAAAATAAAATAAGAATAAAAGCATATTTATTTCAGAACTGTAATCCATTCATAACATTTTTTGAGTCTCTCCGTATTTGACGGGCCAAAATAATGCAGTTTTCTCCACTGACCGTGTGGTTTTCTTGAAACCCTACTGAGTCTTCCTTGAATGGCAAAGATGCATCTAGTCAGTTGTGTAATTTACTTCTAGTACTATATTTGAAGACTTTGACTCAACTATGTGGAAAACCACACTCTCAGCTCAATGTCACTACAGCAAGCAGCACTAAGGTAAGTTAACTTTATCTAGTTTACTGCACAAGCTAACACT